AGAAGGCTGGAGCCTACACAGAGGAGGGATGAGAGTGTGGTTTCCTCTGGACGACCTGCTATTTGCTGGCTCGCTCCAGGGAGGAAGTCGCTTTACAGACGGTACATCTCGTATCGCATCTGTCAAAGCCTGGGTTTCATAATAAATTGGAAGAAGAGCTGTCCTCTTCCCTCTCAGACAAACGTTATCTGGAGTGGAATTAAACTCAGCCAGCAGAGCGCGGCTCTCGCGGCAGCGAGTGGAGGAACTGACAGCTCTCCTCCGGCATGTCACAACCCACACAGCCCTCTCCGTGACGCAGCTGCTCGACGTTGGCGTCAGCTTGTCACGTGATGATCCCCCTGGGTCTCTTCCAACAGGGGGACACTCCAGAGGTGCTTCATTCGCTGCAGAAGCCTGCTGTTTTTAACCTATTGGTTTATAAACTGCAGAGCTCGCGGCATTCCTCTGTCCCAGATATGCCTCCTACACACGGTCATAATAAATCCACGAGCACTGTTATAACGCCTCGTGTGGACAGCATACACACATCTCTCATCCTCTGGGCGTGTACGCGCCTCATGATGAGAGACGGAGTGAAATGCAGCGTGTGGAAACTTCCTCGCAGCGGCGATGGCGTGGCTCGTCACCATGACGACCATTACGGCACATCACAGAGAAGCCTCTCCCCCCCAGCAGTTCCATGGGATACAAGAAACACTCCCGTTATCCCAGGAACTGTGTCTTGCGCGGTTTACTCCCGCTATTTTTCTAAATCTACGGAAAAGAACGGGGGAGTCGCCCCGTTGCTGTACAATCAAACATGTGTTGATTTGCACAGACAACAGGCCACGGCTATGGAAGCAGCCGACCTCAATCGCCAGGGAGGAGTACGATCTGCGCAGCTTCTGAACGCAGCCAGGCGGCTGCTGTTCTGGGCGCGCACACATGTTGCTCTCCATCAGAGCAATGTATATTCCCGGCGAAGTTAACCGAGGGGCTCGCAGAACGCAGCAGCTGTTGTATGCGAGGAGTATGGAGACTCAGACCTGTGTCACGCACACTAGCGCCTCAGTGGGATTTGGATTTGGTGTTACGCGCACTAAAGCAAAGCCCCATTTGAACCTGATCAGGTTGGGTTCCCCTTAAACTGTTTTCAGCCAAAGTAGTACTACTTTTGGCTCTATCAGAGAAAAGGGTGAGTGATATGTCTGCTCTCTCTGTGGCTCCGTCAGCTCTCCGGATCCAAGGAGATGGCAGTTCAGCTGTTTTACGCCTAACCCGGCTTCATGCCTAAGGTCATCACTGGCTGGCTTATTCCCCCCTCCTCACAGGTCGGAGGAAGAAGCCACGTCTCATCTCCTCTGTCCGGTGCGCGCGCTGTCTTGCTATGTGGCGCGCACGGCGGCCTGGCACCGTTCTCAGCGCCTGTTTGTGCATTACAGAGAGCGCTCGATCGGGCAACCTCTGTCTGCACAACGGCTGTCACACTGGCTGTGTGAGGCTGTGTCACAGGCATATGTCTCCTCTGGTGTGGAGCCCCCGGAGAATATCAAGGCGCACTCCACCAGAGGAATTTCCTCCTCCACGGCATTGCACGGAGGAATGTCAGTGGAAGATATTGGCACTGCTGCATCTTGGTCTTCCCCCTGTTCATTTATTCATTTATTCATTTTTATTTGAGGGATGTCTCCCTTTCCTCTCTGACGCACCCTGTACTGGGTGTCCTGTTGGAGTGAGTGACGTCAGGGATCCAGCTGTAGGCCTCTCTCCTGCCTCTCGGCACACAGAGAGCGGCCCTTTTCCCCTCTTATGAGAGGGATGTTCCTTTTTCCTCTGACACACTTTGTACGGAGTGCCTGGTCAGAGTGAGTGACGTCAGGGATCCAGCTGGGCGCTCTACCTGTCTGATATGCAGAGAGCTGCTGTTCCCCCTCTATGATCGCAGGACAAGGTGGGACCTTCGTCTCTACTTTCTCACAGCGGCCGGTATGTATTGTTCCCAGCCTTCACCCCGTCGGGAAGACAGGCATGTTTTGCTATGTTCCAGGGACGGACGGTGATGCGCCATTACGCATGGCACAACAGGCAGGGGGGTGTTATTGAGCAGGTATGTCTGTGCTTCTAGTGCCGGGCGGACCCAGTGGGGCGCAGACTACATCATGCTTCGCCCTTAACCCAATAGCGATAGCCTTAGAGGGCGAAGCCATTTACGAAATAGAACTGAGGTTACCTACTGTAACCCAGCTTCTATGAGTAAATGGCGCAGCCCTCTAAGCGCTGGGCCCCACTGGCTCTACGAATAGCTGAAGAAAAGTTATATTGTATGGGAGCAGATTGCCGGGCCCCCTTCCTACTTATACCGGAAGGAGGCCCGAGGGTGGGGCCCACCTAGCGGGTGGGCGTGGACAACAAGTGTTTCAGTGCTGCGCGGGGGCGCAGAGGGATAACCCAATAGCGATAGCCTTAGAGGGCTGCGCCTTTTACTCATAGAAGCTGGGTTACAGTAGGTAACCTCAGTTCTTGCACTATTTCTATTTTATTTGTATTTATTTGCACAATTGTATCTGTTTTATTTGTTCTATTTCCTATATGTTGCACTGTTGGAGGAGCCTGTGACTTCAGTTTTTCATTGGCGTATCTACACTTTAGGTAATGTACAAATGAAGCTTAATGCAAGTCCAACCAGGAAGACAGTCTTTAGTCATTCATTCACATATTTCCAGCTAACCACTCTCTCCTCTCCATAGAGTGGTGAAGTCCCTCCCCTTCCGGTGGACCTCCATGGGCCCTTATTTCGGAAAAATTATGTATTGAAGTCAATGGAGAGAGAAAGATTATCTTTCGATCCCGTTTGAATTGTGCCACGAATTACACATATGATGTTTGTCAATTTAAAAGATAATTTTGCAAGTCAAAAAAATTAAAATGTCGTAAAACTGTGAAGTAACACATTTTTTTGTGTGAAACACTTAATGAACTACATCTCCGGTCTCGCACAACAACACACGTCACCAAGATGGCCGTCACTACTGTCCTAAAGGGATTGACTATCTTCACTATCAACACGTCCAGAAGAATGTCATGCAAAGCTGCCTGCCTGCCTTCCTTTGATTCTCTCTGAACTGCCTGGTCTTTTTAATGTTTAATGTCAATCATTTGTGCAGATAGCGGGAAGTAGAACAGATCGCCGATGCTAATGTAGCGTTAGCATTTCTCCCAAGGGCTTAAATGGTGTATTATAGAATGATCACACCGGTGTGACAGTACTCTTCAAAGGGTTCACGAAATATGACTACTATTCTTACTGTTTAACATTTTGGGTTACTTGATGTTACATGAAGTAACATCAAGTTAAGGCTAATAAAAATGACAAGGCTAAGACTGTAATTCTTTCACACACACATACGGGTTTTGGGCCGAGGGCGACACCGTACTTCCGGTATCCGCCATTTCACACGAGGTGCAAGCAGAATATCATAGTCTATTGCCTTAATCAATATCTAGTCAACTCTAAAATACCACATATATGCATTGGCATGATAATATTATTGTGACAAGTGGGGTATTCACCTGGTGTTTCCAGAAGATAGACGTAGATGCTGCCAAAATCGACCGAAGGCCACTTTCGAGAGTCGTTTTTCCATACATCTGCAGGCAGTCTGTAAGGGCAATCGGACAACCCACACAGCTCTAGTTTACGCTGGTAACGACCTAGAGCACACCCCTCAAGTCCAGAGATGTCATCCGAAGACATGCAGCGATTTCTTCGGTCGTTAATTCAGAAAAAAAACCTAGTGCGCTCTGCCTGGATACGTTACCTAGCTGTTTATATTAGCACCTCCAGGATATTAGCACCTCCAGGAAAATGGCGTATTTATATATATATATATATATATATGGCGCGCGTTGCATTGTGGGTAGCTCGTGACGTCACTGTGTGTGAAACTGTGACTTTTTTGACGTGGAAATTATTTTTTAAGATTGACAAACATCATATGTGTAATGCATGGCACAATTCAAACGGGATTGAAAGATAAGCTTTCTCTCTTCATTGACTTCAATACATATTTTTTCCGAAATAAGGTCCCATGGACCGGAAGTAGATGGGCGTGACTTCGCCACTCTATCAGTGATCAGGGCGTCACTCCCAGATAAACTTATCACTTCTCCTGTACTCCCACAAGCCTATCATAGAGCATTGCTAACCCTTTCAATCTGCTCTCTCCCCTTCTGACAGCTGTCATTTCAGGAGACTGGACGCAGCCCTCCTCCACCCCTTCCACCTCCCAAATCCAGGGTCAAGCTTAAACCAGTCCTCTTCAGACCTCCATCAATCCCTTCACCACCACCAGTGTCTAGACCCCAGGGGGGGCTTCATCGGTTCGGTTTCCCCCCGAATGATATTATATATCCATCCATCCATCTTCTCCCGCTTATCCGTGGTCGGGTCGCGGGGGTAGCAGTTCCAGCAGAGAGCCCCAAACTTTCTTTTCCCTGGCGACATCAACCAGCTCTGACTGGGGGATCCCAAGGCGCTCCCAGGCCAGCGAAGAGATATAATCCCTCCACCTGGTCCTAGGTCTACCCCTTGGTCTCTTCCCAGCTGGACGTGCCTGGAACACCTCCCTAGGGAGGCGCCCAGGTGGCATCCTAACTAGGTGCCCGAACCACCTCAACTGGCTCCTTTCGACGCGAAGGAGGAGCGGCTCAACTCCGAGTCCCTCCCTGATGACCGAACTTCTCACCTTATCCCTAAGGGAGACACCAGCCACCCTGTGGAGAAAACCCATCTCGGCCGCTTGTATCCGCGATCTCCTTCTTTCGGTCATGACCCATCCTTCATGACCATAGGTGAGGGTAGGAACGAAAATGGCCCGGAAGACAGAGAGCTTTGCTTTGATATTATATATATATATATATATATATACAGTGGCGTTGCGCAATATTTCGGGGCTCCCCCGCAGGGCGGACCATGGGGCCCCGCCCCCTCCCCTAAATCAATAATAGAGTGACATGGGATAGACATCGCGGCCACTTTTTTAAATGTTTATTTTTTCAGGCATCTTTTGTAAACAGTAGGCCTATAGGTCAGTAGGAACTTTCTGTATAAAGATACATCTGATTTAAACAGTAAGGTCAGTAGGAACTGTATAATAATATACATCTGATTTAAACATCATTGACAAATACAAACAAGTGGCTGTGTATTTTTTGTAACATGAAGGTATATTGTAGAACGTTATAGCCTATCATCATTGGAGTTCACACAACGGAACGGTTCACATATATATAACATTCTGTATAAAAGAAAAGTAGCCTACAAAAAACAAACAAATAAAACACATCCTATAGGCTACATAGAGGATGCAATCAGGAGCTGCTTTGTAGGCCTATTATTTTATATGAGCGCGTCTCCTGGCATTCTTCTGCGCAAAGTCCTGTATGACAGTCGTTAAATCTATACTGCGCGCGCGTCGGCTCTCAATACTAAGGACTGCTAACACAGACAGTCTCTCTTGCGACATTGTGCTCCTCAAATATGTCTTTATTAATTTAAGTTTTGAGAAAGATCTCTCAGCACTGGCAACAGTCACGGGTATAGTTAAAAACAATTTCAGTGCTGTGACAACATCGGGGATACTTGGCAAAATGGACTGATTTTCAATGAGCAGGGTTTGTGCAAGGTCTTTGATTGTTCCACGCTCAATTTTCTTTATAGTAGGCCTAAGAGCATTACGGAGGGACAGGATCTGGAAAGGAAACTCGGCTGACAGGTCGTCTTTATACTGGCCTGATAAAGCACTTGCGGACTCAGACAGATCCTTGTCTGTTGCGCGCAAAGGTTCGCGGGGAAGCAGAAAAGTAAATCGCTATGCAACTTCGCTCATTCCAACAAATCGATTTTTGAGTTGGGCAACGACAATATCGAAATTTGCGTAAAATACCGCCACTCTAAAATGCTCCCCATGGTCTTGGAGCCGCTGGTCCTCGCAAAGCTCTGAAAAGTGCCTCTTTGTGCGCCTTGCGCGTCTGTCTTTGAAGAGACTGTGGACACCCCATGAGGATGCCAGGTCTTGCGCGTGCGCTTTTAAGCCATCAAACTCTCCTCGGAGTTGGGCAAGTGTATCGGTTGCGTTACCAAGCATTACTGTCGCCTGTAAGAGGTCCACGTCTTTGCGCTGGAGAGCTTGGGACACAATGTTGACTGTTTCAAGGACCTTGCCCTGTATTACAGTCATTACAACAAACTCAAAGCTCTCCATGGCCTTTTTCAAGCCAGTCGCCTCGGCACGTTCCTCGCTTTTTTTGGAGAGCAAGTCTATCTTAGTTAGCGCTTGCATAATGTCAGCATAACGGAACCGCAATGATTGGACGGCGTCTTGTCTTGATGCCCATCGTGTCGGGCATAGTCTCTTCAGTGTAGGCTGGCCAGCCTTGGGCACTGAGAGGTGTGTTTCCAAAAGCTCCCATCGTTTGATGCTTCCACTAAAGAATACATATAGCCTTTCAACAGTGTCGTAGAAGTCTTTTATCTCAGGTATATTTTGGCATGCGTCATTGAGTACAAGGTTTAAATTGTGCGCAGCACAATGAATGTACACTGCGTTGGGCTCTTTATCCCTTATGTGTTTTTGTACACCGGAGTAGACGCCACTCATATTGCTAGCCCCGTCATATCCTTGTCCGCGGCACTTCCCAAATAGTATCCCCTTTCTCTCCATCGATTCGAGAATTTCTCTCTCTAGACCTGCAGCAGTTTGGTCTGTGACTGCATGGAAGCCCAAAAAACTTTCGTTTATTTTCACCTCTGTAGGGTTTCCATTTTCATCATTTGCTATAGTAACATATCTGAACACTTGACTCAGTTGGTCTACTTTTGAAATGTCCTGGGTAGTATCCATTATAATCGAATAGAATTCTGCATTCTGTATGTCTGTAATGATTGTGTCCTGCACTTTTTTCGATAGCAATGAAATTATTTCGTTTTGAGTTTGAGGACTTAGGTAGTGCACCTTCTTTTTGCTTTCAATAAGCCTTTGCAGAACTGGATCATAACGCGCCATAAGTTCTATGGTAGATAATAAATTACCATTATCTATATCACATATTTTCTCTCTGTGACCCCGGAAAGCAGAGTTGCGAGAGGCCAGTGTTAGTGTAACATCAGTTATTCTGGTTAGGACCTCGGTCCAAAACCCCACCTCTCTCTTAAACTCAGATGATATTTGCGCGTCAATGGTCAGATTATTTTTCCACGTATCATACACGACACATGCTGCCAAATGAGAGCGAGATAATTCGTGTTCCTTAATCTTTTTAGAGAGACCCTGCCAATCATTTATTCTTATTCTCCACGCTTGGTGGAGGTGATGGGCAGACGGTCTGTCACCGAACAGCCAGCACTGCTCACAGTACACCCGGTCCATAGATGGCGAGTAACATAGCCACTTGCGCGGAATTCTACATCCAATTTTGGATGTTTTGTTATAGAACTCTTTTGAAAAGCACCTTCCCTTCCCATCCCTTTTGAATGGCCCTTCAGGCTTGCATGGCCCGTTATTCAGAATGTACCGTTTAACATCATCGTCTTCTAAATCTACAGGGAATTTCCCCCTATCAGTAGGGTATTCAGTCACAGAGTTGTCGCTGGCCAACGTGTCCCTGGGGTGGGTGGGAGCTGCTGTCACTGTCGGGGCACGGCTAGCTGGCTGGGCAACCTTGGCTATGTCTGAACTGGCCTCGGAGGGGGCACAGCTGACTTCTTGCTGACCTGCAAAAAGGAACGGATTATATTCCAATTCCAACGTAACCTGTAGCATACTGACTCGTACTGTTTATGGCGATTGGCGAATAAAACTTTCTATTATTCTAACCTGTCTCGAAGCGTGAGGCATGACTAGCTGGCTCGGCTGTAACGGGGCTGCTGGTGTCTGTGGGGGCAAGGCTAGCTGGCTGGGCAGCCTTGGCTATGCCTATGTCTGAACTGGCCTCGGAGGGGGCACAGCTGACTTCTTGCTGACCTGCAAAAATGAACGGATTAGATTCCAATTCCAATGTAACCTGTAGCATACTCTTACTGGTTATGGCGAATAAAACTTTCTATTATTCTAATGTCTAACCTGTCTCGAAGCGCGAGGCACGACTAGCTGGCTCGGCTGTAACGGGGCTGCTGGGCTGTCTGCCTGGACTCGGAGCTGACGGCCGGGGGCCGTTGCTAGCGGTCTATCTGCAGTAACGTTAGAGTCTACGTCTACCTTTGCTGCTTGCCGGAACAAGGAAGTTATTTTAGGTAGTTTTGCCCTCTCCTGTTCGGCTTTCGCTCTCATTTTGCTTTTCTGAGCACCGCTTGGGTAGTGGCGCTTCATTTTTCATGTTTACCGGCAACGCAACTAATGAACGTTATTTATATGAGCAATGCTTCCCGCTTTGTTTTGAACGCTGCCCAGCCTGCCAATGAACATTAGTTATCAGCCGGCTAGCCCTATTGCAGGTGAGCAAATAATTATAATGATACACTGTTGTACTACTACAGGCAGCGTACACATGAGTAGCAACATAGCAGGGAGGGGGGGGCCTCGCCCTCTGCGCCCTGTTCCCGCGTTACGATATCTAAGAGGATATCCTACAGTGGGGGCGGGGCCCCCTAAGCTCCGGGGCTCCCCCGCACCCCGCTACGCCACTGTATATATAGCACAACGGGGTCTAATCGCCAAACACCATTACATTCATCCGTGTGTACCCGGCAATATATATTGTTAGATCAAAACTGTCTCTCCTGACTGAAAGTTAAACCCAATACTCACATGTATCAGTTATTAAAGTTAGTTAAACCCAATACTCACGTTTATCAGTTACTCCTCACGTGCTGCTTTATCTCTGAGAACGGACCGACATTTTCTTTGTTTCCTCGTCACCGGCGCGCATTGCATCCTGGGATACGGTGGCGCTGTGAGGAAGAGGACTCTTCAAATCCGGGAAAAGAAGAAGGCCGCTCTCCAACCCGCCCCTCCCCCCTCTCTTCTGTCTGTCGCAGAATCAGAAGTCCTTTATTGGTCCCACAGAGGGACATTAACATGGTTACAGCAACAGTGGAGATAGATGCTGCTCCCAGACCGTAGTGGAGGAATACAGGGGAGGACTCTCTGCAGTCTTCCCGGACTGAAGCACCAGGCTTCGGCTTCAATAACCCACTCTGAAATGAGGCAGACAGGCAGGCGGTTCCTTGGGAGGTCGCTGTGTTCCTCAGGACTTTGTTATACAGCTAACTGGAGATAGACTGATCACTGCTGCTGCTCCCGGCCTCTTCCGGACACACACTACTCTCTCTCGCTCTACACATGCACGCGCCACACCTCCTTCTCTCTCTTAAAGGGATAGGCGACCCCACTCTGCATCACCCTGCTATGATAGATAGATAGATAGATAGATAGATAGATAGATAGATAGATAGATAGATAGATAGATAGATAGATAGATAGATAGATAGATAGATGCATCACATTCATGAATTAGAGTGTTTGTATCAGACCTTAGGTAGAGGCTGTTCTGTAGAGCTGATGTTACTCTTGCTATCCTGAAGGTGGCAGCAGAGGGGGATATATATTTGTAATCCTCTAAATATTTATAGAAATAGAAATAAAGGAATGAAGTCAGTAAATAAATAGAATAAGAAATAAAATGATGTTATTTCACATGGAAGTTGGTCACCAAGAAGAAAGGACACAGGGAAAATGCCATTTGAGGGGGGGGGGGGGGGGCTCACCAACTATTTGATATTTTAAATAATACAACTTTATTTATATTTTGAGGACAAGTTTATCCAGCAAAACAAGTGCATGTATTATTTACATGTTGGATTGTTTATTTCTAGTCTTTTCATTTCTCTAATGTTCAATGTCTTGTCTTTTTATGCTGCTGCCACACAAACATTTCCCTAATTGGGATCAATAAAGTACTTCTTATCTCATCTTATGTTATCTTAATAACACGCAGGCCTGTTCCTCCTTGACTGCTATTCGGTGCTTTTATTAACATGCATTGTAGTTTTAGAGGTGAAGGTGCTGGTATTTGTATGTTGCTATTTGCTTGTCGATGTGTCTTTACAACTGTTGATGTGTTGTTTATTTGTAATGGAGGTGCATCATGTTGTTCTCTCTTCTGAGGCTGAAAATATGTATACATTCTGGAAAACTTTAAGAAAGAGACCGGAGCTTCTGAGATCCACGTGGTTATTACCCGTCCCCTTGTGTGTTATTAAGGTTTTTATGTAAACGGTCTGCAGAGTCAGAAACCCTCAAAGTACACCCTGTAGCGAGTAAAACTCTAACACAGAAAATACCTGTATGCCCCAAAACGCCTCATTGGAGATTTATCTTTTTCCATTGTTTTCTTCCTGGGTACAGCGACGTGCCCATACCCAAATGGATCCATTGGTCCAAATGGACCAATCCGTGGAGCTGTTACGTTACTTCAGCGGAGCCATTACGTTACACACACACACTCAATCTTTTCTCAGCTGCAGCTCCGCCGATTTCTCCTCCCTGAGACGGCGGGACGCGGCGAGGCTGTGAGTCGGTGTGTGAGCACACACACAAACTCCCAGCCAGGCTGCGGGTGTGTGTGTGTGTTCGGGCTGGGTTTCGCTGTGTCTCGCTGTCTCGCAGACGGCCACTGGGCTCATAGGGGGGGGGGCCAGGAGCTCCAACAAGCCGTTTAGGACAGAGAGTGAATACACAGATACAGAGATGCTGTGAGAAACCAATGTGAGTTTGGAAAATTGCATAATATATTCTAGTAGACCTCAACAATGGAATTATGATCAGTAGAAATGGCCATGACATGGGATCTTTAATGTGTGCAAAAATGTGTCTTTGATTGTGTATATATAGGTTTATACATATTTGCACAAATATTTTTACATATAATGTTTTTCAAATCAAATCAAATAAAGTTTTATTTATATAGCACATTTATAAACGATTTTTGGTCGAGCCAAAGTGCTGTACATATAATAAAAATAGCCTACAGTAGAGACACTTTACAGCAAATACAACAGCACAGATTGTTCAGAATATCAGTATGAGAAAAAAAACGACACCCTCTATCCTTAGACCCTCACATCGTACAAGGAAAAACTTCCGGAGAAAACCCACAGTTTAAAGGGAACATAGGAGAAACCTCAGGGAGAGCAACAGAGGAGGGATCCCTCTCCCAGGACGGACAGACGTGCAATAGATGCCGTGTGTAAATCCAAGAGATAATACATTTTACAGCATACATTTTTATATTCGGGCTTGTGGGAAACGGTATTTTGATCTCCCTGTCTGTACACACAAATTGGGTACACGGCCACTCCCAGCCACCCCCCAGCTCCGCCACTGGTTGGGGGTGCTGCGGGATTGCTTGACGTTTCATAGAGGGTGCTCAAACATGTAGGGTTTCCCATTAATGTACCAGGGCGAAACAGTGAAATGTTCTACTGCAACACTCCCCACACGCACATACACAGTGTAGCCGCGACTGTTACAATGAAGGCTCAATAATCAGCTCACGGCATATACAGATGTAGCACTCTAGAAAGGACTCCACCCTGCGGATTCCAACCAAAAACCCAGCGTTTACCAGTGGCTGGGATTTTAAAGCCCTCCCACTATTTCCTGAGAGGGCGTTGCCAGATTTCCCCATTTGTTCAATTTCAGGATTTAACCATGAGATAGCGCTTCATTCACAAATACACAAAGATATCTGGGTGAACTTTGGTCTTCAGTTTGTTTCCTGCACTTCAGTAATGTTTGCAGCTCTGCAGTTGTGTTTGCTGAAGAGCATTTAATCACTTATTTGTTATGGTTTTCACAGGCTACTATAACGAAAAAACATCAATATTTTAGATCAAATAAAGTATATCTAATCTTATTATCTTAATTATAATTCAATAATATAGTCTTTATAATAATAATGCATTTTATTTATGGGCGCCTTTCAAAGCTCTCAAGGACACCTTACAGAGCATAATTAAAAACAAGCAACAAAGAAGATCACACAGTAATACAAGACTTAAAAACAAAGACTAAAAACAACAATCAGTTTAGAAAAATTATTAAGATATTGAATATGCCAGTTTAAAAAGGTGTGTTTTCAGGCTGGATTTGAAGGTTGAGCGTGAGTCCATATTGCGGATGTCTTGTGGGAGAGAGTTCCAGAGACGGGGGGCAGAGTGGCTGAAGGCTCTTGACCCCATGGTGGTCAGGCGGGCAGAAGGTACAGTGAGCTGGAAGGCAGAGGAGGATCAGAGAGCACGAGAGGGGGTGTAAGTGTGAAGGAGTTCAGAAAGATATGGAGGTGCAAGAGTGTGAAGGGCCTTGAAGGTGAGGAGCAACACTTTAAAATATATGCGGTATTTAACGTGGAGCCAATGTAGTTGTTGGAGAACCGGAGTGATATGATTAATGGAAGGAGTTCTGGTAATGATACGGGCAGCTGAGCTTTGGACCAGTTGGAGCTTACGCAGGGATTTGTGAGGAAGACCAGAGAGGAATGAGTTGCAATAATCAATACGGGATGTAACGAGGGCGTGGATGAGGATGGCGGTGCTGTTGGGTGTGAGTGACGGGCGGAGGCGGTTAATATTGCGGAGGTGGAAGTAGGCAGATCGAGTGATGTTATTGATGTGAGCTTCAAATGATAAGGTGCTGTCAAGGATGACACCCAGACTCTTAACTTTATATATTAAATAATCATAATAATAATGTAAATGTTTATACTTCTTTATTTGTTTATGCTCATATTTTTACCTTTACAATAGTCTGCTTTAATATGCAGTATATTTTTTGTAATATTGTTGTGGTGTTTTTACACAGTACAGTAAATCAACGTATACAATATCATGTATTATAATGTGTTATAAGTTAGACCCTCCAGAAAAACACGGGCCAAAATCCTTGATTATGCGATTAAACATGCGGGGTTTTTAAGTGATTTTATGCGGTGAAATTGCGGGAAGTTGCGAAATATTTTTTCAAATATTGTGCTGTCTTATTTATTCTCTCTCACACACAACCTGCCACTAACGTTAAACCCCTTTATTATTCAATTAAACACATTCAATGTTTACTTATTGTAAAAGCAATTGGGCTATTTTAATCACACTCTCTCACTCACACACACACACACACACACACACACACACACACACACACACACACACACACACACACACACACACACACACACACACACACACACACACACACTCTCTCACACACACACACACACACACACACACACACACACACACACACACACACACACACACACACACACACACACACACATACCATGTATACATCACTTCAGGGGACATTACATTGACTTACATGCATTTCCTGGAGACTTATCCTAACCTTGACCATAACCAACACATGCCTAACCCTTACCCTAACCCTTAACCTTAACCTAATCCTCATTCTCCTTCTATCCTCCTGAAGAAGCCTTAGCGACGAGGAAAGCCCCTCCTCTCCCTCTACTCTTTTAAATACCTTTTGGTTATTTAAAAAAAAATGGTTTTATATATATTTTTTAATTGTTGGTATGATCGTTTTTAACGGCTCTGCTCACATGGACTATTTTTAACAACTACATGCAGCAAACAAACGTTTAAGGTACAAGAGATTAAAGGAGCCCACGGACAACAACTGCTTCAAACGGTGAGTGACGGACATAAGAAAGAGGGTGCACACTGAAGACTCTGTAATACCTCACCAGGAAGCCGGGCTCCTCCAGACTCAACCCGAGCTGGTTTTAATCTTCTCCTATACTGTATGTTAGCTCAGAAAGGATTGTTACCCCTGTGTGGGTGACGATCCCCCTCGGGGGCTCCTAACCTGTGAGTTTTTTTAGACCGTTTTTTAAACCATCATTTAAATCTTTAACCACTGTCTTCCTATATTTTCCTTTTTAACTCGTTGTGTGTCCCTCCACAATTGCTGTAATTGTTTATCATTTTACTGTGCTTTTATCTCCTTGTTACTTCCTCCAGTCTTCTATTACCCATTTTTATTAATTATTTGCCAGTGCAACTTAATTTGTTTTATTGAAATACTCTCTCTCTGGTTGCCTCTTCCCGTCACCTCCGTGGCTGCCACAATTACATTCCTGTGGATGAGTTGATCGGCTGTGATTTCTTTACACCCTTTTTTCCCTCTCCTCTGGCTCCACAGCGGTATGAACATACCCCTCTCCAACCGCTTTATATTGCTGGCTCCTTCCCCTGCTAGCGGGGGGAGGGGGAGACGCAAAACTAGCTATCCCCCCAC